GATCACCTGTTGGTAAGTTATTACCATTGCTCATTAGCATCTGCACACCAGGGTAATTGCAAGTTGGATTCCGGCCATTAAAGAAGGAATAAGTTATTTTCTAGAAGGTGTCAATATCGTATCAGTTCGGAAATACCATTGCTGGAAGGTGATTCCACAATGTGGTTGTGCGTGGCAAAAAGTTTCTAGAAAACCGTAACCGAAAAACTGTGGCGGACGTCATTTATCTAGATGATCAGGATAATTTGTATATAAATCTTTATAATAGACAAGAATTTAACACTTAATAAAAAATAAATTTTTAAGGAAGTAAAACGGAGTGCATAACCGCTGCACTATTAAATAATATCTGTTTAAATTAAACGATCTAATCAACTAAAAATGCTGTTCAAATTTGAATAACACATAACTTAAAAGTATAAAAAGATAGAAAATAATCAAGAAAAGAAAGAACGTAACACCAATATGCCAATCCATTTTAGGCGAATCTAAAACTGTAATTCGTCTACACAAACAGAACCATATATATAAAGTTATAGAAATACTTTTCTATTTACACAATTTATTATCTAATTTCCCGTATAAGTAGATGTCAAGCGATAAGCCAAGTTAAAAAAAATATAGATATACTTTTTAAATACATATGTACTAGTAGAATGATAATAATCGCGTTTGTTATTATTATTATTGTTATTTATTATTATTATAATATTACTAAGATTAAGATAACTTAATCTTAATAATGTTATAAACGCGAAAGTTTGTGAGTATGGATGTTTGTTACTTTTCACGCAAAAACTACTGAACGGATGAAACTTTACAATAATATATGTAGCTTGCTAGAGATGGGACAGGTAAAAAAATGATAAACCTTTTGACATACGTATTTTGATATTAAACAACAATTTTTTTTTAATAATCTTAATTAACAATAATTACGAGTAAGTACTGTATGTACGTAGTACAAAGTAAGGTGCCTAATCCAAAAATGTATCCAAAACTGTTTTCAAATTATTGTTTAAATTATAAAATTAATAACAGAATAATACATTTTAATAAGCACAGAAGACGCTATAAAATTCGAACAAATGCATTCGCTTTTGAATTTGTGTAAAAAAAAAACAAATGTTACACGATTTTTTTTACAACCAGCCAGTATATCCTTCAGATCACAAAAGGTAACATAGTTATTACCTACTTGGTAAAAAATGATTTAATAATTTGTAATAGTATGTGTTGATTAGACTTTTTTTATATGAGTGTATATGAGTGTGAGAAATTCAAAGTTTTGTAATGCATCCGTTCGAAGCCGGGGCGGGTTAATTATTATTATTATTCTTAATAAAAAAACGCGTAGAAATAAACACCTCTTGTTTTTTTTAATAACCTCATGTGTTAAATGTACCACTTTCAATATTGTCTCATTATTATAGCTGTTTGGGTTTGTTCCGTTGCTTGTAGTCCATTTTAAAAAGGTAAAATAACTTGGCGCCAAAATATATTGACATAAAATAAAAAGGATATAATATTATAGAGATCAGAAGGGAACTGTAGAGAAAATATATATATTGTCATATTTATTACTTAAATACATTATAATAGTTTTTAAAGTGATGTAATGGTTGGAAGTTCAGTACAAGTATATTAAAGGCTACAAAATAAAAATGTATGTTTAGTGATTACAGTTTTCATTGTTAGTATAGAAGATTCCCTTTATAAAAAACATCATGAATATTAAGAAGAAATTAGTTTTATGTCTGTGATCTATTTTCAATTTAAATCAGCAAATATAGGACAAAATAGTATTCTTTAAAAGTTATAATTCTTAAACATAAGCATGTCTTAAGATTATTTTTAAGTTTAATTTGAAATTCGCTCATAATTTATTTTAATTCGGATTACATCCATATTGTGTTAGTAAAAACTTATAAGACTATGTTAGTAACATATAATATACAGATACAGAGATATATTTAATTAATATATCTGTGTCCACGTCCAGAAGCACTGGGTCCACAATGCAACGATATCCAGAGCCTCTGGAGCGGACAATCAGGTAACAGTTGTTAGGATGCTGTTTCTGTTTAATTGTGTTTGATAAATCAGACTGCACTTTTAGATGTGATTCAACTTTGTAAACATTGTCGTAACTGTACCTTCAGAAATTGGTAACTGTAAGACAGTTCACCTTCACCTATCAATATTGGCCTCCGAATTTACAGTGACCGTCCAAGGCAAGTGACAGTAATTGAGATACATCATTATACAATCTACTTGAAACCAGTGTTACTACATTCTACCAAGAAAGCCATTGGGTTAGCTGTAAGAAATTTACATTATATCTCGAGTCGGTCGCATCGTATCTATCTGTATGTTTAATCTCATGTGAATGCTAAAGAAATGTGTATTATCTAACACTAGAGACGTGTCCTTGCTTTGCACGTGTTTACAGAGTATGTGACGATGATCATATAACCACTATATATGTATTTAAACATTACATTTTAACATTCCGGAAAAAAATCTTATAAAAGTTTATATAGTTTGTATATGTTGTGTTGTTTTTTAAATGACAGAATAAAATATTAAAAAAAAATGAACCCTATAGAAATACATTGAAATGTCTGCTTGTAATTTTAAATTAACAGCTTTTCAATAAATGCATATGGAAGTAAATACGGTACTTACACAATAAAAAACAAAAAAATAATTGTCTGTCTGTTTGTTCATTCTAAGCACTGAAACGGTTGGACGGCTTTTATTCGGAACTGCCACTCTCAGACACCTAATGTTATAAGGAGTAAGTTATGCTACTTTTATTTTATAATTATTATTCATAATTATAAAAAAAAAATCGTGCGGAAAAAGTTGTGGGTAACAGCTAGTATTTAATAAGATAACGATCGAGTACACGTGTAATATGTCCTCTGCCTCGGTGCCACTATTAGGCAAATTGTAACATCTCGGCTGGAGTTGTACAAAAGTGGAAATTAAATAAATATAATAATATTAAAGTATATTAAAAAAGGCACAGACGAATATGTCTGTGGAAAATTGTATATAAAAAAAAATATGTCCAAATACATATTACAGATATTTTTAAATTCCAGTATTATTGCCATGACCCTGCTACTCATTATTACGTACACATTCTCATATATAAAGAAATACTTCTGAAATCTTACATCATAGCAATTTAAGAAATAATTTCAAAAATCTAAATTTATTAAATTTATACAAAATTATTAGAAAATACCCGATTTGAATACAAATAGTGTGAAATTAGAGAATCATTATAATTATATGAATTTAAAATATGAAATGATGAATAATTTTAATACTAAAAAGAAATATGCAATTATTTATAATAAATATGTATTTAAGTAAATTTATTAAAAAATATATCGATTTAAATGCAAATAAGGTATCATTGTTTGTAATATAGTGGTATTTAAGACTTATTGTTTTTCCTAAGTAACTAATAAACTATTAATATGAACAATTGAAAAATGAAAGATTTTGTTTTTATATTTTTCGAAATAATCTAATCTTTCTAATAGCATAAATGCGAAAGTTTGTGTGTATGGATAGTGAGCTGGATAAATGGATATTTGTTAGTATTTCACGCCAAAACTACAGAACAGATTTTGATGTAACGGTACGGTATATGGCTATATACATATATATATGGCTATATGTGGTATACGTTAGAATAACATATAGACCATAAAATTCATTATAATTATAAAATTATCATTTATTAATAGTTTAACTGTATCACTTATCACTTTAAGGTATTGAACCAAAAGAATTCCTTTTTCATTAGAAAGAAGAATTAAACCTTCATTTTTACGAACCATATCATATGTGCTTTTATACAATATAACTTTACCTATTTGTTTTTCAATATTATGTAGGAATTCCCATTTCACATTTCGTAGGAGTAAATTAGACTCAACTGTATATAAGCTAGAGTCAGATATTAAATAATAAATATATAAATCCACACCTATAGTTTCTTTCATATTAATATTTCTCCAAAATTGTAGTTGTATAACATTAATTTAAATGAACTTTTTCTTAAAATAATAAAAACAATATGTAATAAGTAAATAGTCATTTACATTACGTATATAAATACTTACTTAAGGCAATCAGTAATTCCCATATGACATCAAATTACAAAAATGCAAATTAGGGCACTATTCAATTCCGCCTTTTTCTCATAACATACGCGTTACGCAACCCGATCTGAGATTCAGACTACTTGGACCGACGCTGCAGGAGAAAGTGCATGATGCAGTAAGTCGGATTGTAGTGCGGGCGAAAATCACTAATTTTGCTAAAACAGCAACCATTCTGTGACGCAACCATTTACGATTGGTCTTATTATCTTCACGCGTCCAAAGATTATGAAATCATCCATGTTAATCGAAGTACAAGATTCCTTGATGTCGCTTGAAGCAACATTTTCGCTTATTTGGACGAATTAGAGCCGGTTGGTACTCCAAAAACCAGTGTCTAGTTGGAGCCACTCAAAACCCGTCTCGTTTGTCTATGCCGTGTGAGCTACCGGATAAGTGTAAAAGTAAAAGTGACCACTGCGAAGACAAAGCGACAACTAATTCTAGAAGCTTAAGGAAAGCCACGGACTTTGGTTCATAATTACGTCATTGACATTACGTTCACTGCACTTATTGATACATCGATCATAAAGTGGCTCGTTCTTGATATACTTTCGATTTCGTTCAATATCGAGTACTTTTCCACAATGCCCTATTATCAAGATTCGGCAGTTCGGCTGCGTTCTCAGAAACGGTAATGCGTTTTTCGAGTGCCTCGTAAGGCGGTACAATTGTTCCATTGCCAAAACATTTATTACTGGACAAGTTTACATGTGAAAGTGATGCAATTACCCGCATCCGACAATTTCACCCATTAAACCGACTGACGTCTGACGGAACAAGAAATTAAGTAGTCGTTGTACAAAAGGAGGTTTATTTACAGAAACTTAAATTAGACAACAAATATAATACATTAACCTAGGATGCGATCACATGAGTTTCATAACAGTTAATGAGATGAGGTGACTACGGCTCGATGGCCGATTAATGATGCGGGGCGCCGTATGAGGATGACGGTGAGGGCACTCCGTATGATCCTGATGGGACTCCGATTGTCGTGTAAGTGACGGAAGGTGCGGAGTAGGAGATGGAACCGTGTCCACCCGAGTATCCGCCGCTGGAGTATCCGCCGCTTGAGTATCCGCCGCTTGAGTATCCACCAGCATAACCGCCGGCGTATCCCTCATCAGCCTGGTGGTACTGGGCAACTTGGATGCCTTGCTGGATGTGATCAAGTTCGATGCCTACGATTCTGTCGTGTGGGACACCGTATACTGGCGCTGGAGCACCATAGTGAGACGAGATGCCGTGTCCATGTCCAGATGATGAGGATTGGTAAGCCTGGTTTTGGATCTCATCCTTCAGGATAATGTGCTTGATTTTGCCTAATAGATGGGGGTCGATGTGGTAGCCCTCTGAGGTCTGGTGTCCCACTGGGACGGGACTGTAGTGACCTCCGCTGCTTAATCCCCCGCTGCTGTGGCCTCCGCTGCTGTAGCCTCCGCCGCTGTGACCTCCGACTAGGATTAGGGATGATGGAGCCGAATAGCTATATCCTACTGGTGGCTCGGCTACTGCGCAGCCAACGAGCGCCAGAGCAACCTAGAAACAAACAAAAATACTATAATTACACCATTCTATTCATATAAATTCAAATTTCTTATTAACAGAGGAAACAGAGCATGTATTAAAAACATTGTTTCATATTATAATAGTCTACATATTACAAAAGTGTTTCAATTTGCGTGTAATAAAGTCCAAAATATTGTGTAACGTTCTAATTGGTTTAATCTGACACAAGCCCAATTAAAAAACTAAGAACTAATATTTAAATTTGAAAATTTTTATTTTAATTTAAATTTAGAATTAATTTTTCTTCGAACTTTAATTTTAATATTAAGAACTCATATGGTTAGTGAATAATCACTCTAATTCCCATAATAATAAGATAGATTTTCAGTTGTGATCCGTAACGGGATATCACTGTATCACATAACGCACGAACTACATATCACGGTCTAACACTTCACTACACTGCACTCCAATTTTGGGGAAACTTACTATGGTCCACTTTGCCATATTGGTTGTTTCTGCACGATAGTCAGAGGTTGTGTGATGCTGTACCGAATGGCCACTGGCCTTTTATAGGGGGGATTCTGCCTTCTACTTTTACTTTGGACCATCTGATTCGGCGAGGACGAATACGGGTTACAAATGACCATTTTTTTTTTAATTTCGGGCAAAAGGTCCGTGGTATAATGCTATAATTGCAGTGTAACTTACATATTAATTATACAATTCATTATTGTAATCGCATTGATTATTGGAAATATAATTTATGTAAATTAAATAACAGCTAAGTAATTACGTTTTTTCGGTTGCATAATATTTTACGGTTTGATATTTTATTTAATTGTTATATTAAAAATGTTACGAATTTATGTATTTTGACCTAGTGGTTTGGTTGTTTGCGTAAATTAGGTTCCGCGTTTGATTCTTTATCGGTGCAATAATTATAGAAAATTACTCTTTGTAAATTGAGACAGATCTCTCTTAATGGTTTGTTAAGACATATATTAGTTATGTAAAGTCATAGTAGATAACTATGCCTTAATATGGTAAATCCTATAATTGAAAGTGTGGGTAGAATTGGGAAATACATAGATAATTGATATTTTTATTCCAATGCCATTCTCATTCGTATTTGACAGCAAATAATATAGAATGTTCAAAAATCATCATCGTCGAATTGGAAGAACTTTTGAATGTTTGAATTTTTTGAAGGCTTTTTGAAGGCTTTTTTTATACAACAATGGTAAACAAGAATACCACCTTTCTCATGGTAAACCTTTACCCTCTATGGATGACACCTGAAACAACAGGTATGGTCGCGTCGCCTGAAACCTTTTTGATAAAATTAGATACAGATAAGAAATTATCGAATTTTCCAATTTAATTAAATTATAAATAATTTAATTCGATGTAGATATAGAAAGAAGTAATTATTACATTTTTATTTCAAAGTGACAATTTTGTGACATGTTTTTTTCATTCATAAAATATGGAATACACTACCTGCCAGTTTCACTCGAGAGACTAGAGCTTGGAGTTTTACATTCCATAAATATATACATAACAGATACACCCTGTATTAAGGTTTCTTAACGATCATCAATGCGATATCCCTGGTGCTTCAGGTGTACATAAGTCACGGTAACAGTTTACCATCAGATGGGCCGTATGCTTCTTTTCCCACCATCGTAGAGTAAAAAAAGAACTGTGTCAAGGTTTCCTAAATTAAAAAAGACAAAAGTTATTGTACCCGCTGTCATTAGTTCCGAATCTTTTGTACTAAAGATCGAAGATTAAGAAGTCGTTTCAATTGACTGTTAAAAAAATTAAAAATCCATCAAATTGTCTTTATCTGTTATTATGAATGGTTGTAATGTATTTAAAAGTTATATTTGTATTAAAAAGCTCTATTATGATAGCCACGGTGGTCTAGCGGTAAAGCACATTGCTTTACTTCTGATGGTCGCGAGTTCGATTCCTCATAGCGTACAAACATTTGTTAGTATGATTGTTTGTATTTTTCTAGGTGTCTCCTAAGTATTGTAATAAAAAAAAAATCTAAGCACACAAAAATCTAATCACTGGTACACCCATAATACAAAGTCTACGTGGGGCTAGATGGCGCTGTGTCAATTTTTCAAGGATATAAATTTATTTTGAAGCACATACGAATAAAGTTTAAATAAACCAATATAAATTATGTTTGTCCGTTCTTTTTCTCCCTTATTATTAATAATACTTGAGTATTTTGACTTTGAAACAGACAATACCATTTTATCTAGTGTGTTGTTACTTTTATTTCAAATAATAAAAATAGAAAGAAATGGATAAAAGAAATCAAAAGTTAGTTTCTCATTTGATTCAAGAGAGCTGTCAATATTTCCGTCATTAAAATTATTAAGTTTACAAATACAAATACACTTATGAATATAAACATTTGTATTGTGCGGGAAGAGAACCTACAATCGACGAATAGAGAGACAATGTATTAAACCACTTCATTAAAGTTAGTTTAACAGTGCAAGCCTTGAGCTTAGTGCAGATATTGTTGTTAAAGTATTTTATCTATATTTATATACAAATGTAAATAAATACATGAATAAATAAACTTTATTATCTTTTATAATTAGCAAAATTAGCATAATGCCAAATATGTAAATATATTTAATTAAATAACCGTTATATAAATCGACTAATCAACATTAAAATAGCTTATAATAATAATATCAGGACAATTCACACAGCGCCATCTAGACCCAAGTTAAGCTAACTAAAGCTTGTGTTATAGGTACTAGATAACTTATAAAAATATCTGAAATATTACGTAGAAACTACCCAGACCGATACAAACAATCATACTCATGGATACAAACATTTCTGCCGTGCGAGGAATCGAACCCGCGACCATCGGAAGTAAAGCAGTGTGTTAAACCGCTCAAAAAAAGGGGAATCAAAAACCTTCTTTTCGGAGTCGATGAAACGATCATATCATCATGATATTTATTATCTACAAAGTGATTGCATAATATTACAATACTACCATTATTCACAGTCGGTCAATTAGATGCAAGTAACGATGATCTTATAAAAAACTAGGTCATGAAAGCGATGCACAAGCTGTGTCCGTTTTAGTCTTCTACGATGTTACACCCTTAATGTAACACTGCCTTAACTAAAAAATTCTAAATATTATGAAATCCACCCTAAAGTTTTAACTTTAAAGTCGAATTTCAAAAAATCTATTATATATGTTACTGCAGTATTACATTGAGATATATATGCGATATATTTAACCTATATTAGGCTAGAATGGTGCTTTTATTGGTTGCACGTGGGCGGTATCTATATAGAGGAATAATAACAAATATTTAGATTACACATTCAATGTAAATAGCTGTAACCGTCGTTGCAACAACTCATTAGAGTTCCACTGCTGGACACGAGTTCTCTCCTTAAAAGGTTATTTTATTTACTGAATATTTCGAACTACTCTATTGCTGATTTTGCAGCTTCACCGAGCGTTTGGGGCGAGTGCAGATTGAAATGAACGCTGTAATGCAAGGAGTGGTCCCATGGACATCATATGATGACGTAATATCCGTCATGCTACTCATGCAAGAGCGGTTGTCATGACCAGGTTGACTGCAATTAGAAAACAGAATATCGAAACTTCGAAATAAAACAATTACGAACTATTTATGCTTATTGAAGGATTTTTTACAGCATTTCAAAACAATTAAAGTATCTAATATTAACTAACATCAATCAGTCCGTATATGTATAACGGTACAATTATTTGTATGTACCAATTCTCTTCACGGGAACTGAACCGGTATGCGAGCGGACGTTATGCAACTGCGTCTACCGAGCGTTTATATATAAGAAAAGGATTGCATTTTGCATCGTCTATATGTAGTCGTGTTTTGGTCTGACTATCTTTATCTTAGCTTGTTATATCAAGTTCAAAATATCTTTATTCATGTTAGTCTATTACAGACTCTTATGAAATGTCAAATTTACCGTCACTTCGGAATTCTTTCGAGATGAGATGAACTGACAATAAACTCAGCTCGTATTATTTTCAAATATTATTTACAATTATACAAATTAATTTTTAAATAAAAATTATCGATATAGGTATACCCAAGTATAACTAGATGATAACACGAGACTAACAAGGCCCGTCAAAAGTCTCTGATAGCCTTGTTATCACTCCTAAGAATATCCTTCAAATTTAACTAGAATTGAAGGATATTCTTAGGAGCGATGGTTTTTATCTCCTCAGGATAGAGTGCACTTTCCAAAGGAGATATTTCGTTTAAGCATGAGTGAGCTACAACCACATAGCTTGATTACTGGCGTTTCTTTTTTAATTTTTAAAAATATTGTTATATAATATAATTCTTTTAAAACATCTTCAAATAGTTGTTAGAGATAGACCATCTACTTAAGGATTCTTAGAAGCGATGGTTTTTATCTCCTCAGGATAGAGTGTGTACTTTCCAAAGGAGATATTTCGTTTATGCATGAGTGGGCTACAACTACACAGCATGTGTAGTGGCGTTTCATCCTCAATTTTGAAAAACCTGCAAATATTTGTTATATAACACTCTTGAAACATCTTCGAATAGTGGTCAAATGTTTGAAGAATGTTTGACACTGGAGTTACGCTGGTATTCTATGTGACATTGGGGTATTGTTATGTGATGTACAGTCTGCAGTGCAAGTTCATCCATGACCCGCCAACTCCGCTAAATGATTGTCAACGGGTCAATGACACGAGGTCGTCATTGTATTTAGAAAAATCTGCGTTTTGTGTCATCAACTCGAGCCTTTTGTCATGTACGTTCAGTGATGATTATAGTGTTTATTTCCACATTTTCTTAATTTATTGTCAACCAATTTGAAGGTTAATTAAATTAAGCCTATTTCTATAAGTTTTCTTAATTTTACGTAGTTACATCGCGTGTAGAATTAAATTATTTTCTATTGGATATTTCGGCTCAAATTAATTTTGTAAATGTTATGACTATTCAAAAGTGCTTCAATGTAAGTTTATTTGAATAAATGATTTTCTATTCTATTCTATTCTATTCTATTCTTTTTATTTATATTATTATGTGGACAAACAACAATATATGATCATATAATTAAAAAGAATATATTAATTCGAACAGTTTCGCAATACACTATATGTGACATACATACATATATATAAAATAGAAGATGTATTAAGACGCAATGAATAGCAGCAATAGTAAAGCCGATTTATAACAAATATAAAATGATGTAACATAAATTCAAAATACGTAATAATTTAAACTTAGAAAATTGTACGCCTAATATGGTATCTGTTCTTTTCTAATTTAGCACTAAGATCTGCATGTATAAGAACAGAGAAACTATATATGAGTTCTAATTTTAAGCCTCTTTTTTGAAGTCGGTAAAGAACTCGTTCAGAGCAATTAAAATAAAAAACCCACACGCGGTTTTGCAATGTTAAATCCGACAACTTTGCTTACGACCTC